TTATGTAATTTTAATGCAAAGATGACATTGTTTGAGATGTCTTTGTTATGGGCTATGGTTAGGGGTAAGGGTAGGTCTCAGACTTCTGGAGGGGATGTAGATTCGTAGTAGTGAGTGGAAGTAGGCGGGTGCTGAGCCTGTGGCTGTTCTATATGCAAGCATCAATGTCTTGAACTTGAGTAGCCCTGAATTAGCCCTGAACACAGATCAAAGACCAAATTCCCTTAATTAAAGAACAAGAAAATTCAGGTCTGATCTCATATCTTTGTATAGGGCCTCTTTATGCAACAGAATATTGTGTCTGTTTACACTGGCTGTAAAAAAACAAACAAAACTGGTCTCAGATCAGCCCTAAACAGCACAACTAGCCCCTAATATGGAGCCCCCCCGGCCCAACCACTTACAATGAGGCCCACGTACATGTGTCTGCTATGATTGCATCTTTAGTCACTGATGAATTGAATAATATTCTCAATCTCTCACTTTCATCTCTGGGGTGACATTACAGTAACTGCTCTCAGTATCTACTGCAGACAAATGGGGTTTGCCCGCTGCCTGTTTATATGGTCAGCATCTCCAAAACAAGCCTCAGAGGACAGACCATAAGCAACTCCATTACATTTACATACATTTACTTAAAGCCTCTCCCAATGCCAAAGAGCTTTATTAAATAAGGCATCCATCACATCTGAGTGTAGAGGTTCAAACTGAATTTCAACTTGAAATTGTTTGTTTGATATAAAAGGTTTATATTCTCCAGAGTATTTTGCCTGAGCTGGAAATGTATGAGTTGAGATGTATGTATTAAAAACATACATATATGAGGTATTATGGACCATTTAAGGATGTTCTTGGGAATGACATAGACACATGTTTTCTTTGATGCTTAATTCCTCTCATATATTTAATCCAGAATGGCATTGATACATTATTCTGCTCAAAATCTGATAAAGGGTAATTAAATGTAACAAATCATGTAAAAAATATATAATCTTTTATTGGAAAATTAAACAGCATTTTATCAAACCTTCATAACTGCCTAATCATTTAAACAACTGAGAAGATAGTGATCAAGCGTTTATAAATAAGTATATAAGTTTTATAAAATCACCTTTCAATTTCAGCGAGTGAAGAACAAATTTACACTCATGTATTACGTACGTTACGGTCTCTGACAGACAGCACGATGAAGCTGCTCAGGCTGCCAGTTTCTCTTTCTTCATGACAGTCAAAGTCAAAACATCCGCTAGTGTGGATTTTCCAAGTAATGCTTGTACTATTTCCGTGTATTGTGCACGTTATTTTTTGACAGACATTGATGCTGTGATATTCAAATATTAACATGCATAAGGGTTGAACTTGTTGATTTTTTGGGTATTATAAATCACGCTGGAGACGTTCGAAATGCTTTTTGCGTAGTTCATTATACTTATTTTACGGTGAAAATGAACAGGAATCAAACAAGTTTGTCCAGATATGAAGCACATATTAATGTCAGGTGTAAAGGCGTGTAAATTTTCTGACAAAGCTATAGGCATTATTTGCCAATCTGCAGTGTTAAAAAGGAAGCTTGTAGTGTCTCTCAGTCTCTTTGTTGTCTGGGTTTGTTAATCGAACAGATATCCACCTCTTTAAAATCATGTTTGAAGTGTTTTGTAATGCGCTGTGACAGAGATAAACGCCTTTGATAAAAAGGATATGAACTTCTAAAGCAGCCTAAATCAAACCAGGCAGGATTACTTAACATGATCTCCCTTTTATTTATTTATTTGATTTTATTATCATCTTTTATGTATCGGGATGTGTTCTACAATAGTAGTGCCTGGAACTAAGACTGCTTCAGTCTCAATAAAAATATAAACCAGTGTTATTTTAGTATCGCCGATGCACTATTATAGTTTTTGTCAATATGTTTGGAATTATATTTTATTTTTGTATTTTCACTTTCATTTTAGTTAAAGTTTTAGTATTTTTGTTGTGTGTTTTTGTCATTTTTAATAGTTTTTTTCAAAATATGTCTATATAGTTTTTATTCATTTTTATTTATTAGTTTTAGTTATTTTAGTACTTAAAGTTAAACTAAACAAAAATGAGAAATGTTGCCTTGGCCACTAGCTGAAATAAAATAAGTTTTATTTTATTTCAGTAAATAATATTTTATTTTATTTCAGTAAATATTTATTTTGATTCAGGTAACAAAAATGTTTTTTTTTTAATGGTTTTAGTTTTAGTTGTTACTTTACGATAATAACCCTGACATACAGTACTGTTATTTATTTGCTATTACAATAAAAGTGGGTGTGTTCTGCACTGTAATTTTGTCCTCTATTGTATTATAATGATTGTAGAATTAATACACTTTGTATGCATAACATATATCCATTCGCTCATTCAGAGTCTTATATCGGTGGTTTTGGCAGGTGTTTTTGAGATATTGGGCATCTGTGGCGCACAGCCAGCATGCAGGCATTTGTGCTGCTTTGCTCTCCTGTTGCTTACTTCATGAATAACTGCACAGATATTCATTCAAATATTGTCAGATGTACTGGATAATAATTACTACTCCTTTTAAAACTTCTCCTGCTTTCATAACCATACTTCTTAATAGCATTGTGTAACAGATAAACATCCGCTCTTACTGCACCCACCGATATGTTGATATTAGCTAATATTCCATAAATTAGCATTTTTATTCTGTTTTCCATTCCAACAGATTGTCCAGCGTGATGCCAGCCCCTTGTAAGGCTAGTGTGCTTTATATTATATGTTATGAAAGGCCGGGCCCTGATTGGCTGCTGGAGGTCTTCTGACAGCGCTTCCATATAGCAACAGACCCCCGTTCCCCCCTCCCCTGCCCATTTCCCCATCTTCCCTTTCGTAAGACAGTGGCAGCCCCTTGTACAGCGCTCGGATTCTGCCTCCGACGGGGCTTTGCTCTGCTGCTGCTGCATCTGGGGGAGCAGTAACCATAGTAACAGCTAGGCTTTGCTGACCCTGGCTTTGAGGACTCGCCGCGCAACACAGTTTTCAGGCTTGACCTGGATTCCTTATACTGCTGGTTACTTGGGCAGAGATGCTCAGTCGATTGACCCGCTTCTTTTCTTATGTGGTCAATGATCAGAGGACCTCCGTGCATGCGGCGCGGTGCGGCGCCTCTGGGTTTGTGATGGCACTCGCTCGCTGCCCACACTACACTATTTCAGTAACAGAGTGTTTCGCAGAGCGTTGACTCATTTGCTCTATGAATGGAGCTTTTCCTGCGTGTGAATATTTAAAAGGATTAGATCTAGCCTGCTGGAGGATATGATGCTGCTGTTGGTGTTGTAGAGGCTTTTATGTTAAAATATGCAATTGTTCTTTGACGATAAACCACTGCTGACTTATTCACAGCCGCATGGGTGCGTGTGTGTGTGTTCATGTAGGCAGATGTATTTGTGCTTACAGTTTTTCTCAGTCGCTTTGGTGCATTTCTCACATCACTATTTCGGCATTGTTTGCAATCACCATTGCACCAATGGCTTCCTCTTGTTGCGGAGTAAAAAGGGGCCCTCTTCCACCTCTGCAAGGTTGTCTTGCAATCCTGTGTGGTGCAGAGTAAAATTACAGTAAATATGGCAAATCTTTACTGTAACACTGTGAGAAATGCACCAAAGCGACTGAGAAAAACTGTAAGCTCAAAACTGAAAGACTATAATAGGAAATTCGTATAGACAAATAATAGAAAAGTTCTAAGAGGTACATGCTATGTAATTGCCTTCATTTAAGCAGGAAATGACATAATTTCCGGTCTGTTTTCCCTGACGAGAAAGACTGCAAATTTAAAATCAGTACACAAGCACATAAATAGCCTCATAGCTAAAGGATATAACTAAAAGCCACAAAACAAAACAGAAAAACTACTATCATTTGTGGATCCCATCCATAATTCAAATATGAATTTTATGAATATATGTAATTTATAGTATCATGACAATTGTATGTCACTATTTAAAATTATGTTAATAATGATGTAAAGCTTTATAATTACATATATAATAGATTTTCCTAATGTTGTTATAAAATATGACCAACCTGCACAAAAAGAACTGCCCATAATGTACCCTGAATAAAAAAAATTGTAAAAAAATAAAATAAAAACATTTTTGAAAAACAATAAAATCCCTGTGATGGACTGACCATTCGTCCAGGCAGTTTTGTAGATAGATAGACAGACAGACAGACAGACAGACAGACAGACAGATAGATAGACAGACAGACAGACAGACAGATAGACAGACAGATAGATAGATAGATAGATAGATAGATAGATAGATAGATAGATAGATAGATAGAGAGAGAGACAGACAGACAGACAGACAGACAGATAGATAGATTGATTAGATTTTATTAGAACTAACTAATTTTTCATAATTATTAAAGTATTTAAAGTGCTTCTAAAAATAAGTCTGAAAATCAGCAACCCTGAGTCAATCCTGTGACGACAAACAGCAGTAAGTGTAAAAATAAAATAAATTGCTTAAGTATTAAAGTATTTAAAATGCTTCTAAAATAAATAGGAAATTCAGAAATCCAGAGTTGATCCTGTGACAACACACAACAATAGTGTCTGCATTTAATGAACAGCCCATAATGTACCTTGAAAATAAAATAAAATAAAATAAAATAATTCTAAAGTATTAATATGTATTTAAAGTGCTTCTAAACATTCTAAAAAATTAAACATTCAAATTTGATTCAGTGGGGTCTTTAAAGTTCATCTGACTCTCTCCATAGGTTGATTAGTGTGTCAGTCTGTTTTTAATCTGCTCTGTAGTTTTAAATGAGCAGAATGGGCTTAGACAAATAAATCCACTGAAACATGGCTCCAATCAGATTAGGTGCTTTTCTAAATGAAGCAGCCAGTTTCAGTCTCATGGATCTTTCAAAATCAGTATCATCTGTCGTACCGTTGGATGTCACTGCTAGATGCTGATGGTTCCAGTCTGTCTTGTGTGTTACAGATGTGATGGAGCAGCAGAAGGTGCTGTGCTCCAGCTGTTTGGTGAGTGGAGTCCACACCCCTCCCATCCGGCGCCACAGCAAGCTGGCCACACTGGGGCGTATTTTCAGGCCGTGGAAATGGAGGAAAAAGAAAAACGAGAAGCTGAAGCAGAGCTCTACAGGTAAGACAAGCTGGGCTTTGTTTTACTTTTATTTTAATTTAGCCTATTACTGAAAACATGGCTATGTTGATAATACAAATGAACTTGCAAATATGTGTTTGATGAAATATTTTGAGTGTCGAGTAATGTAAAAGTACCTTTTATAAAAAAAGGTAATAAAAAATATTGTTTTATTTCCAATTCATAAAGACAATTAACAGAGATTTATGAATAGGGAAATTATTCAATGATGTGGGGTGACACAAAATAGTGTAATAAAAGTGGAAAACAAAACTAACAAATTTATAAAGGTTGTGGGCCATAAATATATGGATGGCTATGAGTGATAGGTAGGTCTTTAATAGCTCATTTTTATTTAATTTCACTGCTGAATGTAATCTTTAGCTAATCTCAAAATGAATATCCATTTTTTCATACTGCACATTATAATGTTGTGATGCCTAAATTCACTTGTGGTAAAATTAGTGTTTTAATTTTAATTTATTTAGACAATAATTACATTTTAATATCGACCATTTATTGGTTATTGGCCATAACAAGAAAATAATTATCGGCTTATCAGTATTGGCCAGAATTTTAATATCAGTGCACCCTTAACTAGCACTTTACTAATATCTATAGAGACATTAACTTAGTTTGGGCTAAAAGAAAGAGGACCTAAAACAGAACCCTGGGGAACACCACAGATAACAGGATTGATGGAGGATGGAGAAAGTCTTTGAAGGACAGAACCAGAGGAGAGTTTCTGTCACGGTGGTACTACACTGAGGAGCGAGGAGACACAGGAGAATTCGCAGTAAACACAGTCTTTAATCCTTCCAACACTGGGTATACAGGGCAGACAGGAACATATGTAGCACAAGATGAACATTCAATACCGGACAAGGGAGAATGGCACAGGCTAGAAATTAAATGGGGCAGATAACGAGGGGCAGACAGGTGAGGAGGATAAACTAATAAGGAGACACACCTGGAAACAATGAACAATCAAACACACACACACGGGAAAACTAGGTAGCAGAGCACATGGGGAGCAAAAACACAACACAGACAGTCCAGAATCCTGACATTACGCCCCCTCCCGGAAAGTGAAGGAGATGATGGAGGGAGGAGCCAGGGAGGAGACAGGAGGGGCTTGGAGCAGGAGGAGTCCAGCTGGACCCAGGCCACAGCCATAATGACGGCCCACAGTGGAGCCGACGGAGGGAAGAGCCATGGAGGAGAAATGGCCGCCGACTCCAGGGGGCTGACCAACGGCGGCGGAGCAGGTTGTGGAAGAGCCCGAGGCGGAGACGGAGAGCCAACGAGCCAGGGGGATGCCGAGGATCCGGGGGGCCAGGGTGGAGCCGAGGGCTCTGGCGACCAAGGCGGAGGCCGAGATCCGTGGCGGAGCCGGAGAAAGAGGTCCAAGGTGGAGCTGGCGTTAGGAAGGAGCCCAAATAGAGCCGGTGGGACTGAGAAACGAGGTGCAGCCGGAGGAGCGGAGTCCTGAGGTGATGGCGGGTCGACACCCGACCAAGGCAGAGCCGGAGGGACGAGGGAGCCCGGTGGAGCTGGTGGATTGATGGGTGACGGTGGAGGCGAGGGAGCTATGAGCCGAGGGGGAGCTGCTGGGTCTACGGGCCTCGGAGGCTGGAGGCAGAGGTGAGGGATTCTCCAGCCACGGCGACGCTGGAGGATGGCAGACCCGCGAAGCTCGCACCGTATTGATGGTGGGCTGAGGGCGAGCAGAGGGGTTGCCAGACGACAGCGGTGGAGGAGGCAGGAGCGGGTGGGAGGGGGGTCATTTGTGCATCTCCAGGCATTCAGGGCTTAACTCTGGATCGGAAGCCCCCTCTTGACTGAACAAGGGAACAGGATGGCGCTCAGGAGTAGCGGACACTTGAGGGCGCTTACGAGGAGCTGGCACTGGAGGGCGCTGTGGACTGGATTCGGGGACTGGAGCCCTCTTCGCTTTGGCACTTTCGCCACGCCATACTCAGCTCACCCTCAGCCGCGGTGCAGGAGGCGGATCTGCGTCTCGCCAGTGTCCACTCCACAAATGCGGCGAATTCCGCTCAAGGGCCATCTTCGGACGACGGCGCTCTGCACGTGGGGTTGAGGCTGGCGTCATAGAACGCACAGAGCGCGTCGTCCGGGTAGGCGGGGAGATGGGCAATCGCCAGAAACAGTCTGGTATGACCCTCGAGCGATCTTTCCCCCTGCTCCAGCAGGAGGAGGATGTATTCAGGGTGGGCGGGCGGGAGGATCCATAAGGGAAACAACGGGAGGACAAAAACAAACACTGAGCGAAAAACAGAAACAAAACGGAGGGGAAACACGCAATTTAAACTGTTGTGGGTCCGGTATTCTGTCATAATTTGTGATGGCGAGGAACGATGAAGACGAGGAATAAACGAAACAGTCTTTAATCCTTCCAACACGGGGTATACAGGGCAGACAAGAACACATGTAGCACAAGATGAACATTCAATACCGGACAAAGGAGAATGGCACAGGCTAGAACTTAAATGGGGCAGATAACGAGGGGCAGACAGGTGAGGAGGATAAACTAATAAGGAGACACACCTGGAAACAATGAACAATCAAACACACACACACGGGAAAACTAGGTAGCAGAGCACATGGGGAGCAAAAACACAACACAGACAGTCCAGAATCCTGACAGTTTCCAGTGTCAGTGATGCCAGCATCTAAATGACAGAATCCAATAAGACTTGAGGTCCAGAAGAGTTGAATATTAAGCAACCCTGATTCAGCAAAAAGGAGGAGGTCAATTATGGCCCCACAGAGATCTGTCCCTGCTACTGTATGTAAAGGACAATATTCTGCCTAGTAAGGCTTGTATAGAATATAAGAAACTCGGTGCAGCAGTAGTTGAGAGGCAACAGCTCTGTTCAGCAGTGGTTTGTGATAGGTCTGTAATTATTTAACACAGAAGGACATAGACAAAGTTTCCTGAGAATTAGGGTGTCAGCAGCAGTTTTTAGTTCTAATGGAACAGTGCCAGAGGTAAGAGATCTGTTAATCAAGCATGAAATGAGTGTACTGATAGCAGACAGCTTTAGAAACAGTTTAGTTACATAATGAGACAATATCATCATCCAGTCAAAGTTAGAGGAGGAAGTGATACACAAATGATATTAGAAGCATGCAGAGAATGAGGGAGGATGTCTGATGGTTTTGAGATTGGGAAAGAGCAGGCAAAGTCAATCCTTTGAAAACAAACATCAAAGGTGTCACCATTTTTGGAGAGGGAAACCAGTAACTTTTCACTTCTTAGTAATTCTTCTTTAAAAATGATAGTTCCCCCAAAAATTCCATCACCATTTACTCACCATCATGTCATCCCAGACCTGTACTGTATGACGTTCTTTCTTTTGTGGAACATAAAACAAGATATTTGAAAAAATGTTTAAACTGTTTTTGTCCATACAATAAAAGCTAGTGGGTACCAATGTTGTTCTAGACCCCACTGACCCTCATTGTATGAACATTTTTCAAAATATCTTCTTTTGTGCTCCGCAGAAGAAAGAAAGTCATACAGGTTTGGATGAGGATGAGTAAATACTCTTTAAGAGTAAGATGTGAGTGTCTAATGATATATATTTAGTGTTTATGGGGACCCAGGTTCAAATCCACCAATCCAAATAGCAAATGAAGTGATCAGCATGCATTTTTATTGTGTAAATATCTTTTACATTTTGTTCTATTGGGAAAACATGGCAGGTGTTCATGATCTGTTATTGGACTGACCATTTCATTTAAAGTAAAGTTGCAACTACATTCAAAAATATTTATGTATGACTGATAAATATGCATCACTTAATTTTATTTTTTTTAGTTTGTTTATGTTTTAACTAATCCAAATGGATGTCAATTTTATATGCAATTCAAATACGTAAATCTTCAATTTAGGTCTGTGTCTGTATGACGCTTCTGAACAGCACACGTGAACCCCTGGCATAACTGGAGAGATAATTTGGAGAAATCAAGAGCCAGAGGTTTACAATCAGCAAAATGTATAGCTGTTCACTTTCTAGCACCCCCATGAAGATCTCAAATAACATCTCAAAGTCAAAGTCACAAACACCTACAGTACCCACATCATGTCAGCCAGAAGATGGCACAGATGGAGCTAGTGTGAAAGAAACTGGTTATGCGTATGTATATGTTGCGTAACTTGTGTTGATGAATGTTTGTGAGTTGAGCAATCTAATGCAAACTTGAAAGTGTGAAAACACTGTTCCTCTGTGTGCAGATGTGGCCTTGGCTTGTGGACTTAACTCTCCAGACCTCAGCTCTCCCATCCAGGGCATCTCCGATGCTGAGATCCGGCTACCTGGGTCTCAGGGGCCCATTCTTAGCATCAGTAGCATGGAGTACCTCAGCTCAGAGCAAGACAATCTCCCTACTGGTGAGTGCTCTTTATCATTTTTATATATAATTAATTATATATAATTATTTATATTTACTGAAAATAAAACATATACACACACACACACACATATATATATATATATATATATATATATATATATAGTACC